ACACACACTCACACTGACACACACACACACACTCACACAAACGCTGCAGGACGAGAGTCACGGAACTGAGAGAACCAGCACTAATGGAAGCCTGTTTCTGATACGGAATAAAGAAACACACAAAGTAACTGTGACTCTTTTCTCGCAATTCTGACTTTATATCTCACAATTCTGTTTTGTTTTTGCCACGAAATAAAAGACTAGAAAGGTAATTCTGACATATATCTTACAATTTTGACACCGTTCTGAGAAAAAAAAGAAATGTGCAAAATATAATCTCAGAATTGTGATAAACTCGAAATTCTGAAAAAGGCAAAATTGCAAGATGTTAACTCAAAATTACAAGAAATCAGCTAGCAATTTAGAGAAAAAAATTTGCAAGATATAAACTCTGACTTTCTCAAGAGTTTACATCTCGCTGATCATTTTTTTGTTTCTGCCACAAAACAGGTAATTGTGACTTTTTATCTCACAATTCTGAATCTTTTTTCATCAGCATTGCAAAAAAACAAGAGTTATGAGATATAAACTCAGAAAAAGCCTAAGTTTTGAGATAAAAGGTCGTGATTACCTTTTTCATTTTTTATATCCCATGGCAGAAACAAGCTTTCATATTGACTCAATCAGTGTAATGAGCTTAGATTCCTCTTCATGGCTGGCTTTGTTCCTGCTTGTAAAAGAATCTAAAGAAGTCTGTAGACACAGAAATGACTAAATGAAAGCTGCTTTATTTTCTGATGCTATTCATTTTCCTTCGGTCACACAGTTTTACAACTGAAGGCGCTGGTTTCATTTTGTCTAATAAAACTCAAACTCAAAGTCCTGTTGTGTTGTGGTCAGTTTGACCCACAATTGCTTGAAAATTGTTTAAATCATTTATTTCTTTAGTGAATTTTTCTTATTTAGGGTCATGAATGTGCATGCAAAGTTTCGACACAGGTGTGTTTTGGAAAAGCATCTGTGAACAAATCTACATGTTTACTGTTTAGACATAACAGCATCTTTGCAAGTTACATCCAAACATAGCCTTCCATAAATGATAGAACAAGATGACTAGATATGGACTAATGTATAGCACCATGAAAGTTACTTTTGATCAGAACAGTGATAACTCACTGAAGAACCCAGCAGAACTGGTCTAGGATGGTTCTGAAGTGTCTTGATGGATGGATCACCTGCTCATCTGATGCTCTGGTATCTGTTTAATTCATGTGACTTTATGGTTGTGGCTCATAAAGCGCTTTAGTTCGAGTTGAAAGTCCGCAGGAGCTGCTCATCCTTCACTCCTCAGGATGAGTCGCTGCTGTGTTCCATGAGTGTGTGTGTGTGTGTGTGTGTGTGTGTAGGATGGGCTTCCTCCTCAATCAGTCCGGTCATCTTCATTCACATGGCCACACCCACTCTCACGGGTCACCGGGGCGGGGTCAGGGTCAGCGGGGTCACGGCAGTCTGGCGGTGCGAGCGGCCTTCATCCACGCTCTGGGTGATCTGGTTCAGAGCGTCGGTGTGCTCATCGCTGCGTACATCGTCAGGTTTAAGGTACGACCTGCAGAGCTCATTCTGTCTGTGTCACATGTCTGAACTGAGTTTATGATGATAATAACACGCCGCTATGTGTGTGTGTCAGCCGGAGTATAAGCTGGCCGATCCCATTTGTACATACCTGTTCTCCATACTGGTGCTGTTCAGCACAATCCAGATCATCAGAGACACCGGCATCATTCTGCTGGAGGGTGAGACACCTGATCGTCCGTCCGTCTGTCTGTCTTACCTGTCCTTCTGTCTCTCGGAGTGTAATGTCAGTCCGGAACAGTGACGGAGTGTGTGTGTTGCAGGTGTTCCGCGTCATGTGGACGTGTCTGGAATCAGAGCTGATCTGCTGAAGCTGCAGCATGTGGAGTGTGTGGAGGAGCTGAAGCTCTGGGCGCTGACGGCCGATAAAACCGCAGCCATCGTTCACCTGCAGCTCGGTGAGTCGCTGATCGCAAACAATAACAGCAGAATCATGACACTAAAAAAACTTCCTTGCACAAGTATTCAAGCCTAGTTGATAAACTCATGCTAAACTGTTTAATGAATTCTTCTACTTTCTTGATATAAACGGTGTTGGGACTTACGTAATCAGATGACTTTTTCAAGTTTCAGAATCAGAAATACTTTATTAATCCCCGGAGCGAAATTGGGTTCGTTACCACAGCTCCAAGTCACCAAAATAAGAATTTTATACAAAAGAAATAAGAATAAAACTTCTAAAATATAAATGAAGTAGTAACTAGTAAATGCATTACTTGTAAATTTACAGCAAAATATTTGAGCTGCTCTTTTAAATAAGTAACGCCATTTACTTTATTTTCCCATTTCTTGACTGACAGCTCTCCTGTCTGTGTTGAGAGATTTTGGGAGTGAGGAGCAGAGGCGTTTCCTCCAGCCTGAGAATATTCATTTCACTTTTGGTGTGAAAGGGCCTTTACAGTCGCCAAAAATATAACTTTTGAGTTTTTTGTTATAAAAAACAAACAAGCAAGCCCAGCTCAGGTGACAAATAGTAATGCAAAAGTAACAATGCATTACTTTCCATAAAAAGTAACTAATGAAATCAGCTACTTTTTTATGGAGTAATGCAGTATTGTAATGCATTACTTTTAAACATAACTTTCCCCAACACTGTATATACGTATAGTTTCTGTGCGTAACGGCAGGTTGTATAACACTTTACTGAGATCAGTTACCATCATGATAGTGGACTAATGTTTTGCATCTGCCTCTGCTGTGTGTTTAGCGCCGGGGATTGTGGGTAACTGGGAGGAAGTGCAGTCAAATGCGCGGAGGCTGCTGACGATGTCACACGGCGTGACACACTGCACGGTGCAGCTGCAGACGCACAGACAGGGGGCGCCACAGTCCTGCACACACTGCCTCACATCCAGTGCCTGAACACCGTCTGTCTCTCGCTGTCTCACACACACACTGACACACACACACACACACACACACGCGCACACTGACGCACTGACACACGCACACACACACACACTGACACGCACACACACACTGACACGCACATACACACACTGACACACATTGACTCGCACACACACGCACACACACATGCACACACTGACTCACACACTGACACACACACACAGACACACACACACACACACACACACACACGCACACTCACACACACACTCACACACACACACACACACACACTGACTCACACACTGACACACGCACACACACACACACACTGACTCACACACTGACACACACTCGCACACTGACACACACGCACACACACATGCACACACTGACTCACACACTGACACACACACACACACACACATTCGCACACTGACACACACACACACACACACATGCACACACTGACTCACACACTGACACACACACAGAGGATGAGAGGGAGAGAGACGGGGGACCCAGCAGGGTTTTAATGATTGTCTAGCAGCTTTTTCTAAAATGAATATTGACCTCATTTTGATAAACCTTTAATACTGTCGTGCACAGAGGAGAGGACCAGACCCGTTTGATTTGCGTTTGTTTTGGGAGCCGTCTGTCACTGAGGAGCGCCGACAGATGGAGGGACGCTTGTGTTTGTGCGTCTTGTGTGTTTTGCGTGAATCTCATGAAAACATGTCCGGGTTGCATAACAGTGACAACATTAGAAGAAAAACAAACATGTACTTGTTTGGCTTGAGCTGAATAAAGCCTACTGTTTTTTTTATTTTGTTTTTTTTTTGTTTTTTTGCAGCTTGACAGTATTTTAATCACAGTTAATTTTCAATAATGTAATGCGTTTGGATTTACGTCTGAAGGGTTTTGATTCTCATTACTGTAATTTTATTAAAATCTGCAT